TATTAATCCGGTCAGATCTGTCGTTATCTCAACCCCTCGTGCCCCACGTTGGGCGCCAAAAAGAACTGTCGTGGTTTAAACCCAGCTCGTTCACCCACTCCCCTGCTTCTTGCCCTCCCCCTACTCCCAGAGGGATGGAGAGGAGAATCGAAAAGAATGCAACTCCCACAGGTTGAGATAAGAACAGTTTAGTAACTAAGGTATAACACAAATCACTACTGCTACCACCAATAATACTAATGATAAAGGAAATAACAAGGGAAGAGAATACAACACCTCAGCACCAGCCGACTGATAACTCATCCCCCCCCCAAGCCCGACCAAGCATCGACCGATACCTCCTCCAACCCCGCAGTCCCAGCCCCTCCAGCTAACTCCCAGTTCCCTCCTGGGCATGACGTGCTGTGGTATGGAATACCTTTTTGGTCAGTTTGGGTCAGGTGTCCTGTCTCTGCTTCCCCCAAGCTTCCCTCCCCCCTGGCAGAGCATATGAGGCTCACAAAGTCCTTGGCCAAACCAAAACATCATTGTTACCAGCTCTGCTCCCAGGCCGAAAGTCAAAACACAGCACTGCACCAGCTACCAAGAAGGAGAAAAATGACTGCTACTGCTAAACCCAGGACAACTGGTGTAGGATACTTGTTTGCGTTCTGGAATAGGTCAAACGGCATTTGTTATTACCAGCCTTTCCCTTTGCTTTACAACAAAGAACACTTTAGTGAAATTACTGTGAATATTGAAATATTTAACTTGGATACTTTAGAATAATTTTCATTATTTGCATAAAATAATAATTTGTATTTAGAATATTTTTAAATTCATTAATTCTGTTGGCTCACTGACCCTTAAGCACAGCTCAGAAAGGGTGATGATTTATGCAGCTGATTTTTCAGTGTTTAAATACTGCACATTGCTTTGAATGGTTCCAACAGCTCTTGCAGGGTCTCAGCCTAGTCTTACTTCTCTTCACCACTAGAGGGAAGCATGTTCTCATATAACCGCTTGACAGAAGACTAACAAAACATGCACAAGACGTTAATTTACTATTAATTCCCAGAATTAATCATACATACAGTTCCTGGGGAAAAGTGTTATCTCTGCTTTTGTAGCATTCTAGATAAATACTAGATGGCAGTCAAAATTACTGTAAAAAGTAACAAGTGGCAGAAACTGTTTAAAACCAAAGATACATTAGCTCTCACAATATATCCTAATATAATAAGTATATAATAAGAATATAAGTAATATCCTTTCTGAACTACTCTTCAACAATTTAATAGGAAATGAATGAAACACGGTATCTTTACTACATTAGTAGTGCTACATTACTTCCAACACTGACTAGCTTTGAGCTGGTTTTCAATTAAAAAACAAACACAAAATGACAATATTTCTTTTTTTAGGACTTTATAATAATTTTCTAGAAATGGACTGTCAGACAATGACAGGGCTTAGTCATCATACCAAGTCTGAGAGCTGCAATGGAACAGGGAGATCTGAGACATTTAACAACACTGGCAAGTTGTAGTGAATCTACATACTAGCTAAAGTAGATTTAGCTTTACCTAAAAGCAAAACAGTTTTCTGAAGCAGAAAACATGAACGAAGTGATGTATAAGCACCTGAAGATGTATTTTCAAACAACACAATTCAAAACAAATGACAACAGTTAGAAATGCCACCCTCAAACAATTAATAATTTGAGTCTCTCTAGTAACCAAGTAAGATCATACAGAAAGAGAATAGCAGAAGCTCTTCTCACAGTATACCCCAAAGGCCACACAAAGCATGTGAGAAGAGGGCTGAAGTCATGTAGCTCACCACGAGGCACTGAACCTCTGAGGAACTCACTTCTTGCCCTTAATTCTGGGGGAATGAATTCATGCCACTCTAAATCACTGCTGCAAATATTGTCATTGAAGTAGCCTGATGGAGTAAAAAGAAGTGTGATTCAGAAAATAGAATACAGGCAGACTGAGAGTCCAGGTTTCTGAAATTTGTTTATGCAACCTAAACATAACTTGCTTTCTAGTCTGGGTTTATTTCTGGCTGTGGTTTACTATGGCCTTGGTTTAACTTGTCATGCTTCAGTTCACCAGTCTGTAAAGCAGGTTCTTACATCACAGCATCTGTTTGTAATCAGCTGGAACAATGTCTAAAGCAGTCCCCAGCCTCCCCTAAACTCAGGTGATACAGAGTCCAGGTTGCTCAGTGTTGCTGCAGAAACTGTCCTTAGTGGAGCTGCAGTACATTTCTCTGAGCTCATCAGCACTCAAACACAAACCATGAAGTATCATGAAGTGCCCCTTGGCATTTCATGCACCATTACCAACTATTTGTTTTGTGATTAAAACCTCATTGGTACATTGTTGCACGCTTTTCATTGAGGATTCTTTTCATCCACTCTGATATTTGGAGACAGATCTGACAGGATATGGCATCTGACAGATGCCATTTTCCTTTTCCACAGGTGGATACTGAAGTGATACATTTGTAGAGGAAAAAAAGAAAGAAAATCTAAGCCATGTGGATGGCATGAATGGGTTTTCTTTTCTGCTTTCCAGCTGCACAAATCCAGACAGATTTGGCTTTCCCGGGAGCCCCAAATAGGGGCTTGCCCCCCTGCCAAATGGTAATATTTTTTTTGCCCCCCCCCTTTTTTTTTGTCTGTTTGTTTGTTTCCACTCCCCTATTCCAGACCCAGAATGTGAGGCTTTGAGGTATTTTTATGCTGCAATGGGTGAAGTCCTTGTTTGGGAGAACTGGCCCCAAATTGCAGGGGGAAGAGAAAGGAATGGGGCAGCTTTTGCAAGTGCTTTTACATCTTCAATAGGGAGATATTGGGGTGGGGAGTGGTAGGTGTTGAGTTTTAAAAGCCATTCTTAGGTATCTATTTACACATACATATATTAGGGAATATATGTGTTTTTTATACATTATCTATATCTATCTGGAGACAGAGTTGGGAGCCTCTGGACACGGGGCTGGTCCCTTATGCAAGTAAGCTAATGACCAGCAGGCAAACCTGCCGGCAAACCTGGGCTGGGGGGTATTGAACATCATGAGATGCTTACACCATCACATCGAAAATCAAAAATCTTAAAAGAGTGAAAAGTCTTGTTGCTGATGACTTCTGCTCCTAAGTACATTGTCTCGGAAGATCCACTCTGATGGGTGTCATGGAAGAATCAAGAACTAGGCTCACCAGAGAGAAGTAACAATGTACCTCACTGAAATAAATGCAATGGTAATTGTGACAGTGGTTTAGTATGATCGACAGATGGCAAAGCTCACTTAATTATTTACTACACAGAGGACAGGGTTAGGTAGAACTGCCAGGGTGACCCTCCTTTTGAATCACGAGGTTCAGAGAGGACCCCTTTGCTTTCTGAACTCCTTCTCAGAGGGGAATTTAGCTGCATCTGGATCCATTCTTAGTCCCTTAGTAATACTCTGACAACAGTAGTAGATTACAGGGTCTAGATACCAAGTGGAATCAAATACTACACGACAGGGAGTTGTCCCAGGCAGCATCGCAACCGAAGTGGAGAGGCCTCCACTGCAGACCTACTGCTACAAGGAGGGTACAGCCAACAGCATCCCCAGGGGAGCAACAACCACAACCGCAGCACGGCCTCTGGGCAAGGGAAAGAAACAGCAGCAACCGTTATTAATGTAGGTTACCCCTGGCTGGAGACCTTCCTTCCGTACAGGCTCCCTGCAAATAGCACACATGGTACAGGACAATCAAGTGTATTCGAGGACTAGCTTGCCGCCTGCAACACAGGGCTTGGAAGTGACTTGGGGCTATGGGACAGGCTTTCAGGGAAGGTGACGGGTCTGCTGCACAGGGAGCGTGGGGCTGGCGGATGCTCAGGGGCACCTCTGGCGAGCCGGGGACGTGCATGGTATCTGCGTCTGGGGGTCTGTCCGCCTCCTTCCCCTTTTCTCTTCCGTCAGCTCCTGGGGAATGACCTGGGGCTGCCCCGACCGGGCTCTCCCCCCCGCAAACCGGGCGGTTTGAGGCTTCCTGTCCCGCCACCCCCAGGAGCCAGCGGACAAAACCCGCATCTGCACGCCCTCACCGGTGACCCCAGCCCTCTTCCACCCCCACGCCTCGCTCCCAGGACCGCGCATGCACTGGAGAGGCCCTAGTCTGCCCTGCAGCACCACCTTCGGCCACGAGGCGGCAGCACCGCGAGTACCGGCGCGGAGCTCCCGGGGAGGCGGCGGCGGCGGCTCCCGGTTACCGGAAGCAGCGGCGTGTCGCGTTGCCGGGCTGCAGCACCGCACATAGGTCGCTGGAGGGCAGCACCTCCCCAGCGATAGTTCTCCGAGCAGGTACCGCTCCCGCCGCCCTATTTATAGCACCTGAGGCGTCAGCTGTTTGAGGGGTCTGTGGGGTTTTCGTCGTTGCCCTGCTCCCTTGCAGTCCGCAGCTGACATTCACTGCCAGAGCACCAAAAGCAGCCCAGCGGCTCGAGTGTTTCCGACTTTTGCATTTGATCACTTTAGAAGCTTTTTTAGAAATTAAAAGTAGAAGTCAGCAGCATTTTGATAGTCCCTAAAACGGGACAGGTTTTTTTTTTCTTTTTTCTTTCTTTTTACTTTCTTTTTTATTTATTTATTTTATTATTTAAAACAAAGCATAATTTATGCTCAAATAAGTTTGTTTGAAAGGGCATCTTGTGACTCAGTGATGTGTTGCAGTGTGATGTCTGACAAATATTTTGAGTTGAGTTACTTTGTTGTGCAGATCTGTTGGAAGGCAGTGTAACCTTCAGCTGCCCCTTTGACATGTCTGTGTGAATGAAAAATAGAGAAAAAAAATGTATTTAAAGAAGAGGTAAGAACCTGCTTTGGGTGTGTGGGTATGTCACTGCAGCAGTGCTTCTGTGGCCCTGCCTGCTCAGTTCTGAATTCTTACAGATCCATGTGCAGCATTTCACAGGGTAACATTTCCATAGTGGGATCCTGAGCTGAAGGAAAGTTAGAAACTTTCCAAAGTGAACAAAATGTGAAACTATCAAATGAAATAAAACCTGGTGAGCCATGTGAGTACTATGTTTAGCATCTTGATAATCTCGAATGTTATCAGCAGAACTGTGTTTGATTAAGGAACAGACATTTCTGTCCTCGGGGTAAGATACAGGTACTTCTATCGTCAGAGTAAAATTCAGCCTTCAGTTTTGCCAGTGTGCAAAAGAGGTCATTGAAATGTTTCTAATGTTTTGTTGTCTTATATCAGGAACTGAAGGAAGTGGATTTTTTTCGATGTACAGAGAGAAAGGAAGGTTTATAGTGATTTTACCCTGTGTAAATTTACTTCCTCTCAGATTGTTAAATTGTAGTTGTCAGCAGCTTCCCTTTAGCCAATATATTTCACACTTCCAAGGGCAGGTTTTGAGACCTCTTAAGCTTTATTCACAGTTATTACATAGCACAATATACTTTTTCAGTAACTTACAGACATCTTAAATATTACTGTTCAAAATATGGAGCAACAGTGAACTGAAATCGACTAATAATGGGTCTGTGTTAGCTGTTTGGATGACAAACTTACAGAATTGCTGAGCTAACTTCTGTATCTTCATGAATATTGACATCAAATGCAGAAGAGGAAAATAATGTCCTAGATACCTAAGCCATATAGGAGTGCAAGGACTTTGGGCTATATGTTTGTCCTTAAAACTGCTGGATGAGATCTTGTTCCTATCAAAGTTAGTAGAAGTGAATGTTATGAGGCAGGACTTGCAATAATTCCAGAGCACAGAGACTTTTTTTTTTTATATATATGCAGAGGGATGGATCAGTCCTTTTCCTGTTGAAATGTAATTGTGCTTTCTGGAGACAGGCATGGGCCCTCACTATTTCTTTTATTTATTTTTATTTCCCCGTAGTTTCTTAGGGATCACCACTGTTGTCTCTTGTTCTTCCTATTACTTGTGGCTGGAGGAGAAGTAATTATGTACAGGACTACCAGTTGTATGTGTTTTAAGTAAAATTCACATCCTAACAGTTCAGCATTTTTTATACATATGTGTATCTTAAAAATAAATTAGTGAAGAGAGCCTTCTCTAAATGAGATGGGTGTTACTGAGGCTGATATGCAACATACTGAAAAGGAGAGGCAGACAGGACTGGTTCTCCAATTACTCAACTTCTTGCTCATCTGTGTTGCCATTTCCCAGTGCTGGAAGCTCCCTTTCAGGTAGCAACCCATACTCATTTAGGAAAGACTCCACATCCACAGCAAAAAACTCCTCATTGAATTGTTCAGAAATGCTAATGAAATTGCTCAAAAGTTCCCCACCCTTATAGACAAGTAGAGTGGGAAGCACTTCATTTGAGAAGCGGTCTCCAGCCCCTGTGTTGGAGGCCTTGATCTTGCAGAACTTCACGGTAGCATACTCTGCTGCCAGGCAGATCAAGCTGTTGTTGAGAGCATCACAGCCCTTGATGCCATCTTCGTAAATGTGGACGATGACTGTAGTGGTTTTACGTTCTTTCTCGATGGCTTCCAGGAACTGCTCCCCATTCTGCAGCTCACACAGATAACCATATTTTGGCCCAAAACTCAGCCGCTGGTGCATATCCTGCATGCAGCGTTTGCGGTATTTTTGTAGGCAACTTTCATCTTCTTGCTCATCATGAATTAATTCATACTCCTGCATGCTCATCTGTGAATGTTTTGAGAATTTTACATTAACAAGTAGTAATCTCTTGGTGCTGAAACAGGAAGAGACTAAGTTGTTGTCTAAAGAACATCACACTGAAAACTTAGCCAAAGGTAGTCACTTCCTACAATGACTCTGGAAGGTCTCTTCAAGAGATAGGTGAAGATGCTGTCTCAACATTTGCATGTTAACTTGATGGTATTGAAGACTGCTACATATTTGGCAAAAACTTCCAGAGTTGGTGGGAATTTTGCCAGTGACTATAGTGGAGTCAAAGTTTAATTCCTATGTTTTTTGTGGGGTCTGGGTTCCCCCTTTCAGAACTGGTAAATAGTAATGAGTGACATTCAGGCTCAGCTCTAGTCTGACCAGTAAGATTTTGAACATGTTAAAAAATTTTCCAATTGCCTTAACCAGGGATAGAGAATGAAGGCAAGGAATGGAGAAAGAAAGGTCAAACTCTGTGTTGCATGATATGTTGTTGTGAAATTACTGCTTATTTTACTGAAGTTAGACTTTGCTTGAGAGAGGACTATGTAGATGGTTGCACGTGCATTTGTTCTGTCTATATATATTATATGAGCTCTGCTATGTTGCAAAGGAACTGAGTCTGGCAAATTCAGGATTTTCAACCAGTATGCCTTATATAAAATCAAAATTAATTTGTTTTGCTTTCCTTGTCTTACCTTACGGCAGAATCTCTCTCTGGTGTCTTTGTCATCTTTACTGAAAGATCTGTGTGGTGAAGACATTTGTCTAAGAATTTCTTTCTTGCTTAAGGATAAGGAGTCTCGATCTTCACTTTCTAATTTAAACTTCCTCCAGTCATTAATCACGCCTTTGGGCCCTGAGAGATAGGAAGTAAGGTGAAAAACTGGCTGTAACAAGAAGCTGTCTTAAAAAGTCTCCGTCTTTACTGGCTTGTCATTCTGTGCCACAGTTTATCTGTCTGCCCCTCTTCTTTCCAAAATGCTTTCCAGAAGTGTTGAAATCCAAAGTTTTAGGACCAATGTGTTATGTTAGCCTCCAAAAGAAAGGAAGAGTGGTTTTTTTCTAACCTGGATCACTTTAGTGGTCTGGTTCCTATCAGGGTCCTGTAAAAGGGTTTTGGTGAAGTACATGAGTAGTTAACAGAGATGGGGATGTTGAAACCTGTTGAAACTGCCACGTTGGTCAAAGCTAGTGCTGTGTAGAAGTATATTTGAACTTCTCTATAGACAGTGTATAGCCTAACATTCGTAAGGACTTACAGTAAAACTAACAATACAGGACAGTTGAGATTTTTGAAAAATAAATAATTTTTTAATTGGCAAACCAATTGCATCTACTTGAATTCTGGGCTTTCCCAGTGAACAGGGACAGTTTAGCTTATTTTTAGAAAAAAAAAGAAAAAGCCAAAATGCAGATAGTTTCCTTGCCTGTGTGTGTTGCCTGTCCTTCAAAATCTTCTTCGAAGCTGGTGTTGGCATTTTCTTCCATTTTGGTCGCTGGAGTAGGAGGTGCTGCAAGTTCAAAAAGCAAAACAGGTTAATAACAGCATAGAAAAGGGATAAGCTTACAGCAGGTACAGCACAGCTGTAATTTCCTGCAGGTGTCAGGTATCAGTAAAGATCAAAATACATGTAATTGTAGAGCTTCTCATAATCTTCTATAGAGCAATTAAATTATTTGTCAATCTCTTAGAAAAGATGTCTGCCAGATTCTTACTTGAAGTGCCTAGGCAAGGCTTTCTTCATTATACTGTTCCTTCTTGGTCATCAGAGAATACCAAGAACATGGTGTAAAATAGTGGCTGTGAAACTTTCTGCAGTGGGAAGGCAGACTCAAATAATGCAGGGTGCAGTGAATATTTTCTTTCTGTTTTCTTTTTTATTAAAAAGGTGCATCTCTATAAAGAAGGCAACCCAAGGAGGCAAATGGCAATCTCAGCGTGCTGCAATACAGTAGTACTCAAGCAACACATTTTTTTTATCTTTTACAATGGAATCTTTGAGGGGTGAAGTAGAACCACTGTTCTCTGAGCAAGGAGTAAAGTGTAGTTATACCAAAAAGATGGGCCCAGTTGGGTGCTGCCAGAGCATTATGGAGCAGCAGGGTTTGGCCAGAGCATCGAGCTCTGAAGGTCAGGCTGGTTTCTCCTGGTTCTCAAAAGTCATAGTAAATATTCTCAGGGTTCTGCAGCTTTCTTGAGAAGATATCTGTTAAAGGAGGATATACGGGTGCAGAAAAGTACTGATTCTTCACATGCGTTTTCACTACACTGCTGATAGACATTTACTATAGCCAATCTGCAGGAGCTCTGCTACCACATAGTACTGAGTCCTTTCTCATGTCATTCACAACTTTCCTTTGTAATTGAAAACTGTAATTCTAATGTGAAGTGTCACTGTCCACAGAAGTCTTAAGGTAGATGACTGAAGTTCTCACATTTAGTCTAGATTAGTTTTAGCTGCTCAGATGTTATTTGATTTCACAGTAAATCCCATCTTGACGCAAACGCTACCATGTTATCATGCCATGAATGCCATATTTAAAAGCTGATAGGGTGTTAGACTAAAGTGACATTAGTGTTGTAGCATGTATGCACAGAAGGAAATGCACCTTCATTTTTACATACCAGCATCAAAGGATAAAGTGGAATAACAGCTGAGCAAGACAAGGAATCTGATTTTTCTCTATGTTGGAACCAAAACTGATCAGTAAATGTGCAATTAAAGTGTTGTATATGTATACTCATGGCAATTGAAACTTGTGAGAAGCATTACAAATAATACTGGAAAAAAAGCAGGTAACAAATAATACTTTACCAATATAAATTATTTCTGTAAATAGATTGTTGTCAGCATATAGATCCAGGGTATTGGTTCAAGTGCTATTAAATTGAAATATGAAGCTAATCCCTTCTCATGTATGCAAAACTAAAAATCTTTGCCTTGTCAGGGCTGGACAGCTATGTGGATATGCTGGGTCAAAGCCTTGTAAATCATTCTGATGACTTAAATGGACATTTACAAAAAACTTTTCTGTCTGCTGATGTAGTTTTTCTTTTTTGTACATGAGGAAAGAGAGGGTATGATTCTGAATACTTTGCTTTTTCATAGCTTTTAGCCCTGAAAAGCACTAAAAATATGGGATATGTAACTTAAGCAGTCTGTTGCAGGCTCAAACCAGAAAGTTGATTGCACTTTTGGTAAAGCATTAGAGATGGGAACTGATTGCTTAACAAATGAATGCTCTCCATAAAGCTTATGTTACTGATCTATTCTACCTAATAAATCTGGAAAGATTAGATGAATTGCAACAGCATGGAAAGCTGCATTTCACCATTCTGCAGTTTGGTGTGAGACAACAATGCTGACAATGCACAG